CAGTACTGGATATTTTGGATATGTCATCGAATATCATTGAATCGCTTCCTGATGAGGTTTGTTTTCGTCCGAAAATACTTTGGTATTTAATCTATGATTTGTCGATTTACCAGTTATTCGGCTTGCAATTTGCCAGTTGTTTTGACCAATGCTGCATCATCACCAGATGGTCAGCCTGCTGGCGATCCTAACATTTCTTTCGTCTTCTTGGATTACAAAGCTAAAGATTATCCCGATAGAAGCACATGGCAGGATTTTAGCACCGTTTGTAGGTGTTGTTTTTGGTGTATGCTGATCATCACCACCTTTTTTGACACATTGCCAACCCTAGAATACATTGTGGTACTTTACCGGTTGAGAGATTTCATACGGTCTCCGTCGAAATTCTTGTACATTTCACATTCATTCCCAGTTATCTTGCTTCTGAATAGTCCAGGCAAAGGGGAATTGTTGTAATCCATGAGTTAATTGCTGTAAGCCAGCTGTAGTTACTGCTAACAAAACGAAAACACTGAGGTCTATAAATAGGTAATCCGGTGTGTTTCAGTTCAGTGATTTTCATCCAAATCAGTGTTCTAATCGTAGGTGGATCCAGGGCGATTTCCTGGGGCGGGGAGGGGGAGGGGAATGGGGACGGGGTAAGAAAGTGAGGTTCCTGAAGGGAGAGACGGATGATGTCGAAGACAGTTTTCTTCACTTTTTTAGCGCTGCAACCTGTGCCGTTGAGAGAGGCGTAAGACCGGTCACCCCTTTCCCCTTCCTTCCTCCCTCCCCCTCCCCCGTTCCGTTCCCTCCTCTCTCGCCTTTGGATCCGCTAATGGTTGTAATTGGGATAAAAACCACATGTACGAAACAGCTTAAGTAACACACCAAAGACCGGATATACAGCGATTTAACAGGAAAATAATGCACAGAATTTTCCATTTTTCGAGCTGAGACCATTTTGTACTGCACAGCAGGATTGTAATAGCTTCTTAGAAAATGGAATTCAGAGGGATTTAGCCTTTATTTGAGCGAAAACAGTGAATATAGCTTCTCTTAGGCACAGCGGATTTTTGTTTGTCGAAGAAGATTTAGAAAATGCCGGAAGTGAAAAGAGAAGTTGAATTGCATGCAAATGTTTGTAAATAATATTTTCAGGAAAAATTCGGCAGAATTTTCATCTTTCGATTTTTTTTAGGTGAGATTTCTGAAGACTTCAGAACTGAATTTGAATCAGAACAGATTAAATTCGCTGAATATGGCAAATTTGATACAATGCGAGAATTTGAAAATACTTCGAGTGGAAGAGAACTGCCTCAACAAAAATAGTTTTTCAAGTGATTTTTTGAAAAATTCGAATGTCAGTTTGATTGCATATGCGGGAAATTTATTTCAGGAGAAAGATTTTCAAAATTTACCCGGCTATGAGGAATATCAAGCAAGATATACGGCTACGAAAAGAAAGATGTGAAGGCATTTTCCCCCCCTTCCCCTGTCCCTTCGCCCTCCGGCCCCCTTCTTTTGCTTCCTATAAGTTGAAGCTTTTTTACAAATTTAGTCGAAGTTTCCCCTTCTTTCTTTCCTTACTACCCCGTTTTTTTGCCCCTGATTCGCTCATTCAGCCTCTCTGATCAGCAGGTGGAAATATGATTTCCCGTATTTTGCAAAAACACATAAAATGGACTGAGAAAAATCATATTTTAACCTTTTTCATTCATCGGAAAACGACATTTGAATGGAAAAATGATTGAAGCCGAGCTTGAAAGA